TTTTTCATTCAGCCACTGGCTTCTGTCATAGTCAGGAGCTGTGGTGGAGAAGATGAGGTGAAAACAAACCTCCCCAGAGCCCAGCCCTCCTTCCCCCAGGACCCTCCCAAGGAGCCAGTGGCAAGACCCCTGAGACAGGTGGACCTAGAATCTGACCACTCAGTCCCACATCCCAGGGTTCAGAGAGAAAGAATCCCGGTGAGGACTCTGGACCCCACACGACTAAGGCTTCCAGGGTTTAGGCAAGCCCTGAGCGACACCCAACCCAGTTACCCAGACAGGGGGCCCAGCATCCCGCCCCAGCATTGTGCCTTGCAAGGCCAGAGGGCTCCCTCACCAGGGCTCAGGGAAGGGACAGCCTGCAGCTCCAGCAGGAGAGGCCTGCAGAGTCAGCCATAGGTGGCCACCATGGGTTGCTTGGTGCCAATTCAGCGGGAGTGGGCAGGGCCCGGACACGAGGGTGCCCATTACCGTCCCCCATTGTGTACTTCTTTTCCTCATAGCTTGAGTCTGTGTATTCCAGGAGCAGGCGGATGGCGTGGGCCAGCTGGGAGAGATGGCCCGTAGCTCGGGTCAGAGATGGTGGGTCCCTGACTTGGTGAATTTCTCTGCACCAGGCGAGCCCCCAGTCTACACTGCACGCACCTACGCACCTGCCCTTCTTCTTCCTCCAGTCTACACTGCACTGCACCCCTCTCCGCCTCCCTGGCACACACACACACACACACACACACACACACACACACACAGAGGCATGCACAGGCCCTCCTGTGAGAGATAGCCCTAAAGAGGAACCGTCCCTAGAGCCGGTCCCCAGCCGCTCGGCACTTCCCGCCCACGCGCCCGGTCCCACCGTGCAGCGGACCCTCACTAACCCCGCGGATGTCCCAGTACCCCAGTGTCATGGACATGATGCTGGTTGGTGTGGATTCTGCAGACAGGACTCAGCTGGGCTGAACTGCGACTTCCTCTGGGGTTCCTGGCGTGCAGGGGCGGGACCTAGTGCCAGGCCCGCCCCCTCGGCCCCGCTGCGCCCGCCGATCTTCAAGGTCGTCACTTCCAACCGGCCGATCTTCAAGGTTGTCACTTCCAACCAACAGGCGCGGGGGGAGGCACGGAGAAGATTGCTAGATCCTCACTGGCTTGGAGGAGTAAGATCCACCGCCACCTCCGAGTGTTCAGGGAGCAACGACAGGAGGCCCTAGGAGGGGCTGGACCTCGCCAGCTTCCGTAGCCCCGCCCTGGGGCGCCCCGCCCCGCCCCACCCCGCCCCACCCCACCGCGCCCCGCCGCGCTTCAGAACTCTGCTGAGTCCCCAGGGACTTGGCTGTGCCCGTGACAGTCAAGCCAGATCCTAAGAGAAAAGTTCTTTCCCAGGTTCCTTCTTCTCCGGACGTGGCCCAACCTTCCGCCTCTCGGCTGCCGAGTTTCCACAGGCTCTGGGAAACTGAGGCTGCCAGAGTCAGACCAAAGAGAGGTCTCAGAGAGTTTAATTCAACACTTCTTGGCAACTAAGTCTTAGAAGTCTGATAGTGTGCTCTCTCTGCTGAGTTGGGGAGCGTGGATGGAGGCCATGTCACTGAAGCTGGTAGAGCGCAGTCTCTGTCCCAGATGCTCCCGACCCTTTTGCGCTGGGCCAGTTCCCCAGCTCTGAGACGGTCCAGGCTCAGGAAGTGGCCTGTGTGTCAAGGTGGATTCCCATGTAGGTTTGCCTACAGCAAGGCGATAGCACCATGCACACACAAGTGCTTGGACTTCTGAATAGTATACTTCTCATTATACATTAAGACATTAAGAATTTATCATTCTGAGTCTTTTTTTTTGAAACGGAGACTCACCCTGTTGCCCAGTCTGGAGTGCAGTAGTGCGATCTCGGCTCATTGCAACCTCCGCCTCCCGGGCTCAAGTGATTCTCCTGCCTCAGCCTCCCCAGCAGCCGGGATTACAGGTGAGCGCCACGACGCCCTGCTAACTTATTTGTATTTTCTGTAGAGATGGGGTTTCACCCTGTTGACCAGACAGGTCTTGAACTCCTGGTCTGAAGTGATCCACCCGCCTCCGCCTCCCAAAGTGCTGGGATTACAGGCATGAGCCACGGTGCCTGGCCTGTCATTCTGCGTTTATCCATCTTGAGCTGGGAAAGATAAAATGTCTAGGTCCAATTGTGAAAATGATTTTTTAAGAAAGCTAACACTCATTAGAATAATAATTATGAAAGAAACAGAACTGATATTGTTACATTAGTATTCACCCATTTGGTAATTCCTTTACTGAAACAACAGTTGTTGAGATCCTACCATATTCCAGGCACTGGAAAACAATCCTTCAAAGACATTGTACTTTGGCCACCTACGACTAGAAGTCAGGTGGGAACTACAAGGGAGATATTTTGAAAATACGGGACACTTCTTAGTGTTTTTGCACACTGAGAGGCAGTGGAGTGGGAGAGGGGTTGAGTGCAGGAGAGAGAAGTAGTGCCCGCTGTTGCAAGGACTCTGAGGAGCCAGGAAGACCGGGCCCCAGGTGGCTTCTTCAGAAGGAGGAGTACAGCTCTGCAGAAGGCGGGAAGGACTGGAACAGCAGGATCTCCAAAGTAAGGGCCACAGTAGCCACGAGGATCACACCAGCGCGGGAAGTGGGTCTGTGGACAGGGATCAGGAGCGGCGGGGATGGAGGAGGCAGAAGTAGTGCCCTGGGGAAGAATGTGCACGCTGTTGTCAGTTCATTTTCTGCATGTCTGTGAGATCTAACTGGTTCATTGTGTGTTCGCATTCTGCATTTCCTTACTTACATTCTGTCTCAGCCTGTCCATAATTGAAAGAGGGGTTTTAAAGCCTCCCATTGTTAATGTAGAACTGTCTATTTCTCCCTTCAGTTCTGTCAAATTTTGCTGCATATATCTTGTTTTATTCCTACTATGGGAATTGCGTCCTGTATGAGAGAAATCAGTTATCCTTCCTGGATGGTCTACCAGATGACCTGTGCTTTCCTCATTTTAGAAGCTCTTGGTATTTTTTTTTTTTTTTTTTTTTTTTTTTGAGATGGGAGTTTCGCTCTTGTTGCCCAGGCTGGAGTGCAATGGCGTGATCTCGGCTCACCACAACCTCCACCTCCCAGGTTCAAGCCGTTCTCCTGCCTCAGCCTCCCGAGTAGCTGAGATTACAGGCATGCGCCACCATGCCCAGCTAAGTTTGTATTTTTAGTAGAGACAAGGTTTCTCCAAGTTGGTCAGGCTGGTCTCGAACTCCAACCTCAGGTGATCTGCCCCCCTCAGCCTCCCAAAGTGCTGGGATTACAGGTGTGAGCCACCGCGCCTGGGCACTTCTGGATATCTTTTTTAAAAAAACATGATTTCCTGGTGGGATGGTAGTTTTAAATATCTTGCAATCTGTAACGATTCATTGGAATCACAGGGTAAGTTACTGTGCAGTGGAGAGAATGAGCCTAATGTCATGTAAGAAATAGGATTTTAGTGGAGCACTGATTACACTGGTATTAAGTATCATTTATTACAATAGGAATGAGTCACTTTTGTGTTCCTCAAGATGAACAGATTCCTTGAGTAGAATTAAATAGTTTCTGCAAAGCATGCTCAGATGTCTCTGAAGAAAGCAAACAACCATAGTAGCCAGAATAAACCCATTAGTCCTGATTGATTGGCCTTGTAACGGCCTCAGCAGAAGCAATTTGTTGGCATGAAGTCCAAGCGCAATTGTTGCAAGACTGAAGGTTGGGATTAATGATGTGAGTGAAACATAATTACCATAAGGAACCAGTTAAAGGGAGGTTGCCTTGTGAAGTTTTTAAAAGGACAGCTATGAAATTTTTGTCAGCAGGGTTGTTAGATTCAGAGTGGCAGCAATGGTCTGGGAAAAAAAAAAAGTATAAGAAAATTTTGTTTTCTATTAAGTGGTAGATTGAGAACATAAGAGGTCAGAAGCAATAGGATGAGGGCCAGGTACAGTGGCGTGTGCCCATCATACCAGGTACTTGGGAAACTGAGGTGGGAGGATCACTAGAGCCCAGGAGTCTGAGGTTGCAGTGAGCTATGATTGTTCCACTGCACTCCAGCCTGAGCAACAGAGTGAGACCCTGGCTCTAAAAAAAGAAAGAAAAGGAGTAATAGGATAAAAATAAGGAAGCTAACATTAATATTTTAGGTGGCGTCAAAGTAGAATAATAGCCAGGAAAGGGTGTTGGGTCAGAATGTTAATCCTTATCCAGAGTGCTGGGCAGAAGCTATCCACCTCTGAAGTCAGCATCCTCTGCAGCATACCTAAGAATCTCAGTTGAAGATTTCCAGTGGAGGCCAGGCGCGGTGGCCCACACCTGTAATCCCAGCACTTTGGGAG